CCTTTTTTTAAGACCTTGGTTTACCTTCTTAGATCAAAGTAAATTAGTTCATGTGTAGCCTACATTTGCTTACAGAAAAGAAACATAATTAACTGTTTTACTAATTAAGTTATTTGTACAATTAAGATTTATCCACATTTGATCCACCTAGATTTGTCTTTTGTTTGTCTTGCTGATGAAGCATTCCTCAAGGAACACAATGTAGACATGTCAAAGCCTCCCGAGCATCACACTGGCTTGGTTCTGCTCAGAGAGGCATCAGGTGCAGTGCTGTGCTCTGACTAACATTAAGCGCTTCAGTCATGCCTCTGTGCTCACCAGAGACTGAGCGGAGTTGCTTAGTCAGAGATAATCTGCTGTACAACAAAGAGAGTGCGAAATTGTTCTCCCATCTGTTGACACATCTTGTCTCGGATGAAGGCATGAGTGAATTTATGGTTCAGGTAAACTTTGCTCGCGAGTCGCTGGTAATTGCTTTCTCCATGTAAATCTTGAAGATCGTTTCCATGAAAATGTCCCAGATGGGCGAAACGCAACGCAAAATGAGATGATGCTGAGGTGTCGGCTCTGTTGAGACAAACCTTTCCGTTATCGGGTGACAATAAAATCTTCAGCAAGTGACTTTGTTAGTTGTCTTTTTGAGTCTGAAAGAGAGGAAAACATTGACTGATGAGTTTTGTTTGAGAAAAAAAGGTCTTGATCCTGGTCACTTAGTTTTTTTCTCTATGTTGGACATTTTCAGTTTTAGTCCCATATCGAAAAAACAGCTGGGTATAAATGAGAGCTCTCTGCTGCAGGAGCTTTTGTAGCATCTACACACTGATTTGTATCTTCAGGTGGATTATTTTGTACCTATTTTGACTAATTGAAAGTAATTTTCTTTACTAATCATATACAGTACGGAATAATTTAATTCCAGTAGATATAGTTTACATAAACTAGAAATGTAAGAAATGTCATTTGATCATGAGTCATAATTGGTCCTATTTCATGAGTGTCAATTAACCCAAATGTGGATAAGATATATAGAAAAAGAAGCATATAATCCTCAGATAATAATAATAATAATAGTAATAATAATAATATATCACTAAGTTCAAGGCGTTTTCAGAGTTGAGGCGTTTTCAAGAGTTTTTAGAGCTGTAATGGAAGTAGGAACAAACACAAAGGTAGTTACATCAGGGTTTCCCCCAGTGTATTACAAGCTTGGCGGGCCACCAGGCTTCACTTGTTCCCCCACCAGCCTAAGCACTGCTCATTTTTTAAAAGTATTTTTTTAAATGTTTACATTTTTTTAAAGCTTTCTAGTTTATGTTCACGTGTTAATCTTCCAATCTTTCAATGACACATAATTATCAAGTGATATTTTCAAATTTCCTGTCAACTTTAAACGTTTTTTAACTCGACAGCCCGACCACTGAGCTTAGCCAGTTTTCTGGGGGAAACCTTGTAACATGGTCAGGTGATATTTTTAACTCCAGAGTTTCTGCAAATGTATTTATTAAATTTAAGACTCTTAAAATCAGTACATAAAATAAGACATGCCTGAGTTATGAAAAATGCATTATTTGATAACAAAGTGAAGTAAATTTGTAGCCAGGTGTTGCTACCCAACATAACACCGTCCTACAGTAAGTAGTAAGCTTCATAAAAGGTGTTGACAATGGATTTTAGTGAACTAATAAAAGAAAGAATTACAAGTAAATGAGTGAAAGTGCAAATTTTAGACACATCTATATATTATTCAAGGCTTTAGTATCAAATTTATAGGAGTATTTACTTGTAACGACTTTGGCTGGGATATCTGTCAAAGCTATGTCTATTAAATGCACCGTACTTTTACAAGCTGGAAAAATCCTGAAAAACACTTTGCTTTTGTGGCACACAACACAGAGCTGATGGCATCACGTGAGAAATGGCAGCATTTTCATCGCCGTCTCAGCTTGTCTTCCCAGTCAGCATGTTCAACCTCTGAAGTGGCACCTGAACGTTCGAAAGCGACTAATGTGAAGCGGCGCGCTCGTGTGTGAGCATCTTTGAAATGCGTGTGGGTCCTCCAGCTTCTGGGGATTTTCTCTTAATGTCTCAAGCATGTGTTGGTTGGAAGGGTGGGCGAGTTCACTTGCTTGCGTGCAGTCGCAGCAGTCCTGCAGGTCACTAGACCAAAGGAGATTCTTTAATTCAGACTGGATTATAACTACCGAAAACAGATAACTGGGCTAATAGATCTCGCGTGCTATTTTTAACGATAAGCGCTCGCCCGCTGTGCGTTTTTGCTGTGCCATTTCCCAGAAATTGCTTGGCAGTCGGTCAGTGTACTTTTGTGCTCCAGTGTTTTTCCTTGAACTTTCTGTTAATGAAGTTTGAATGTTTCGTTCCCTCCCTGAGGCATGGTGGTTATCGGCATTGGTATTAACTACTTATCTACTCTACACAATTCAGCAAAATAGCCCAAAATTGAAAATGCATCACTTCGTGTGCAGCTGGGGCTTCCACCCCCCCACTCCTAAGGCAGTTAATGTAAAGCGATTAAGTTTGCCGTTGTATCCCATCAATCACAAATGCAAACAGGCTTTTTATTTGCATGAAGCTGCAGTCTTGGATTTTCTCATCTTAAACAAAGTAAATACATTAGTTTGCTGCTGCCGTTTGCCTTTAGCCATATTTCTCCACCAGACAGTGCAGTATATAGGAAGCAGCTTAACTGCCAGTGTCTGGGCGCTCGTAGGCGCATCTATTGGTGTATTTTTATCGGCGAGTCTCGTCCTCGAGCGCTCATATGGATTGCGTCATTTGGCTTTGGTAGGATAGCAGATTTCTGGACCACTGGGGTGTCTGTGTCAGTCTGTTCACCCAGATACAAACACAACAACACCTTCACTGACCTAAAACATTCCTCAGCACATGCGCGCACCGACCTGACGCTCTTCAGCACTTGTTACTGTTACGTATTGTTTCATGTCCTCCTTTCTGTGGGCGAACAGACGTTCTCTCCTCTTCCAAGACATGTCTTTGGTCACAGCTTGCCGGGGTGTTAATTCTTAAATGTGACTGATGATCGCAACGTGATGTGTTGCCCGTGGGGCGTCCTATGCGGGGCTGTAAATTTAGACTCTGGAAGAAATGGTAAAGCACAAGTGTGAGTGTGTGTGGATTCTTTGACACGCAGCGTTTTATGAGTCATGGTGAACTGTTGCAAGCTTTTCTTTCCATAACTTCAAATTTAATAACTACAACAGTCATCATAAAACTGTCAAGTTGATGCCTTGCCTTAGTCGAGAATTATTTGGCTGTTGTTTCACGTTGCTGTAAGTTGGAGATGCACCAACGAATCTAATGGTGACCAGTATAGTTTTTTTTTTTCCTTTATTGGTCTCGACAGGTGACTGTCCAGTCAGAAACTCCGTCTTTTCTCCGAATCCCAGTTAACTACTTTCAGTCTCAGTGAGTCAAAGAAATACAGAAATGTAAGGCAGTACTGTACTATGTACTGATTACTCCATTATGTTGATGGTAATTAATAACCTAATTTTAAGTAATGCAACAGGCAGACCTCTGAAGTGCTTCAGAGTAACACAACAGATTAACTGGGAGATGATTGAACAAGTAACTCAACCATCACCCTCTGGTCAAGACAGCACACCATAAGCATGCTGTGAAAAACTAAGCTGGAATATTTTGAAACCAACATGAGAGACAGTATTACAAATATTACGATAGATGTAGAAAAAAAACAGCTAAATCTATCTGTGACCTTATGGGATTATCCAGCAAGTGATGTTGAAGTTTTCTTTAAAATAGAACAGGTGTAGTACTTGAGAACCAGGGCTTTCATGTTCAGGATACAAAAAACCCTGAGATCTTTAAATGAGGGTGAAAATAACATTAACAGATTTTTGTAAAACAACTGCATGTTTTCTGATGCAGCACAACTAACTTCGTATGTGCACCAAACGACAGCAATCACCGTGACACCCTCATCTGTAATTATAAATAAACTATAAAAGTATGAACAGGAGGAATAACAGATTTCTAAAATGGATTTAAATTTAGCTACCCATGCAATGCATGGCTAACTAAAATAAATAGGTCTGCATAATAGATGTAGATTTAGTTGTCTGTCAGCCTTATGAATTTGAAACACTAAATGTCTAAAGATTCCCATCCTTAATGTTGATGCATCACTTCCATTTAGTCAGGCTGCGAGAAAGCGGGAGAGAGCAAGACCGCCAATAACAGCAAAGCCGACCAGAGCTCATATTCTATGTTATGGAATAGGCTGGATCTTTAAATGTTTGCAGCCTTTTAAAAGCTTCACAGTTGTCGCAAGGATTAGAAACAAAACTTTCTCTAGAAAAGAGAAAACAGAGATTGCTAATTTTTTAATGCTAACAGCTAATATAGGGAAAGCGAAAGCTTAGAATGTCAACATAACAATCATTGTAGCTTTGTTTTGCGACCCTGTTGTCAAAGAACAAGGTAGAATAACATTAACAGCAAAAAAACAAAAAAAACGTCAAGACTGTTCTTATATCTTCCTTTATTAATATTCCTATAGTGAAATCAAAGCATTCTTAGCTCTAGAGATTGGCCACAAGGTTCTGATCTCTATTTTAGGCTCCTAAAGCCTCCAAAGACCGTCTACTGTAGAGTCACTGTTCAGTATGTATGATCACACCGTGACATTTTTGGGTGACATTTTTGTGGCATTTTATCCTAATGGGGCCACCGAGATAGCAGACATGGCATGCATAAAACAAATGTGTGTGTTTGTGAATCTGTAGGCGCCCGGGGGCTTAAGATGCAGCAATGCCCCGCTCAGCCTCTGCAATAATCACACCCCGTCAGAGGCCACGAGGTGCACACTACGGTTTGTGTCTCATTAAAAGTCTTGTTTGTTTTTTTTTTCCTGTTGAAATTCCATAGTATGAATTTAAACACAGCAGCTTGAATTAATGCATGCGTGTGTGTGTGTGTGTGTGTGTGTGTGTGTGTGTGTGTGTGTGGGTTTGTAGTTTATCGGTGTGGGCAGGAAAAAAAAAAAACGGCAGCGGTTGCCTTGACGACCCTGGCACACTCTCCAGCGGTCTGGCGTGTACTGGATAAATAATTCAGGCCGGTCAGAGGTGGCGGAGCAAACCCTGGAGGACGGGATCACGTTGCGACCGTTCACCTGTGTCTGAAAAAACAAAACAAAAAAAAAACACCGTTGTTTCACAGCGCTCCATCTCAAATCTGTTACCGGACAAACAGAGGCACTTTTTTTGTTGTTGTTGTTTTTTTCCCTGTTACCACCCGCTGTGTGACAGGACGGTTGATGCAGAGCAGAATCGCTGGACATTTAATGTCATATCGCTGCTAGATGAATGCTTAATGTATCAAATGACTGAATGTGCTTAACTAGTAATGACCGAATAGACCTTTGAGTAATTGGTTGACCTATTTTTGAGGAATGAAAAAGACTCGGCGCAAAGTCTTCCACCTGAATTTCTCTCCTAGCGGGGAGCTAACTACTTCCCGTCAGCATTCCTGCATAGACAGAAATCCATCACTGAATAGATGACCTGAATAAAAGAAAAAGCGGAGGGACTTTCAGTAGGTGTATTCAACGTGACAAGCCTGTGGTGGAAACTGTTGGCAGTTTGAAACCTTCAGGCCACGTATCTACCTCGCTCGGCAGTCGGTGCTGTACCGTGCTGCTAAGAGTAATGCATCAGCTGGTGTCTGGTGCACTAACAAACCAGTGTAGGTTCTCCTTAGAGAATTAAGTTCCATTACCTTAACTATGAGTTTCCAAAAGTGCTGACAAACTCCTGAATCCATGGTGTTCTAAAATGGACAAAGATTCCCGGCCAAAACCGATGAAACAGGAATATTTTGCTGTAATAAATTCATTCTTTCCTTCAGTTCTGCTGCAAAAGTTATGTTTTCTCCTACTTTCCTGCATCCTCAAAGAAATGTGGACATGAAAACATTGTACCTTAAAATTCTTCACTCTGTTACAATATGAATACTGTTAAGTGTTGTTAATGTTTCTTTATAGTGCTTAGGTCAATTTACTGATCAGAAATAGGATGAATTTTCTTGTTTTTCTCCAGTGAATTGTCCAGTTTCAGTCACTTAAAGATTTTTTGTTGGACCTCTAAACTTTCATGATTGTAACAAAAAACAGGGTGCAGTGTCCCTATGGACAGATATTATTTCCTTAAAGGGGCAGTATTAAGTGAAATCAATTTTTTTGAGCTTTACATCATGTTCTAATGATATTCCCTGATCGACAACATATTTGGAAAGTTCCTTATAGAGACAGAGGCTCAATTTCAAGGTGTTAAATTATAAAGTCAAAGTCATATCTTCAGTACTTTCATAACAATTAAAGAGGACAAAGTTACTTGATTGAAAATGGCTCTACTTTGTTGGAAAACACATAATACCGCCCCTTTAATTTAGGTTTTTGAACCTGCAAATTACTCTTTAATGTTCTTTTAAGACACACATGTGCAATACAGCAACACTGAGGTATCGCACATAATGCTTTCCTGCCTGAAGACGTCACATGATCTCTCCCCTGATGTCACTTCATCCTGACTTGAGACCGCACTCATGCTCCTGACTCACCATGAACTATTAACGCACACGTGACCCCTTGTAACTCGAGCTGACTCAAGCCCTTATCAGCTGATTGGTCACAAATGACAATGACGTCCAGCTGCCACATGTTGTCTGCGCGTTGCCATGCTGACCAGGTTTCCTGCCTGACTCGCATCTCATTCATAATAAAGCGACTGTGATGCGAGGCCGCCTTACAAGTTGGTCCCCCCCTCTTTTTTTGTGGCACCCTTTGGCTAATCGGGTTGCCTTCCATTTCTCAGGTGCGGCCAACCAGCTTCACTGATAGAGAGGGACCATGGGATGTGAGGGCTTGAAGTTCGCCTCGGTTCAGTGGCGGTGTGAGGCATCGGTGGAAGGACAAGACGTCTGAGTCACTTTCATGCCCTAGTTCTTATGTCACCATCTTGGGTTAACCTGCAGCAGCTTAGTCTCATGCTGACTCTGGTTTTACTTTTTATTTCACTGCACAAACAATGTTTAAGATTAGGAGAATAGGTTTGGGGAAAATATCAATTGTATTTTTGTGTAGGAGCTGCACAGGTTTTGAAATAGAGTTGCAAAAGCACCCTAAGAAAAACGTGTGGATGTGTGTGATCTGAGACTAGATTCTCTCATATCTTGGTCTGAAAGGGGAATCCATTTGAAGGGGAAGTGAAACGAAGTGCGGAGACCCCCTTGAAGTAGGTGAAGATACATTTCCAGGAGTTTAGTCTTTATCGGGTCATCATTGTTGGACTCTTTCTCTTCTCTTCAACAGTAGCTGAGTATCTGCAGAAGTTCAAACTTATTAAACACTCTTTCTTTCTGCTCTCACATCGCACCTGGACCTCTTAAATCTATGGTCATTTTCTGGGCTTTGTTGGATTAATTAAGATTTAACTTTTAATGTGTTTACATTTTAAAGTTCCTGCAGTGGTAACCCCCTCCCCAGCCTGTATGTTTTCCCCATTTACAGTCACCGTTAATGCATTTCCAAGGAGTCCAACACAAAACGAGCCGCACTCACTCTCGCCCTCGCTCTCATTTCCATCCATTTGCAGACTGAGGACGGGGAGGAATTTCTGTCGGATCGAATGAATGAGGCTGTCGAGCCGGAGCCTCCTGCTCTCAGGAATCCTCACATCTGCAGAATGCCGGCAGCCATAGATCACTGTGTGAAAGAGTGAATCGATGAGCAGGACAGGTGGGCAGCAGAGAAGGAAGGATTTAGGAGGAAAACAGAAACTGATAAGAAGTGACTGGTGACTGAAAAGATGGAAGAAACGCTCTCTGACTGCACAAAGCGGTCTCCTCTTATTCGTTAAGACTATAGCAACATGGAAACTTAGTTTGTCGTTATCATGTTGGGATGGATTAAGGTGGTGACGATGTGAGGTGCCCTTTGTGGACTCCTAAAGGGGTCACAGGATGCTAAAAATGTAAAACTAGTGGCGTGACCTATAATCTTTGACATAATGAAGGACGAACAGATAAAAGGCTAAGATTTAATCTTTGAAATTTTGCACTATGTCAGCACGTTTCAGCATTCAATCAGGATTCTCTTTGATTCTCTCGTTGGAGTCTGGCAATGCTGCGTGCATGTTTTAAGTTTTCCTGCAGGGAAAGCATCCTGACAGATCCCCGGTTAGGATTTGAATCCAGAACCTTCTTGCTACGAGTAAAAAGTGCTACCAACTGGAGGCGCTGAATAAAACAAAAAACTTTCTTTAGAGAATCACAATTCCTACTCTGGGAATTCCAAATCAATTCAAAATGCTCAAAAATGTATTTTAATCTGCTTAAATTTTGGTAAAATTATATTTTGAATAATAAATCCAGGCAGTTAAACTAATCTAGTATTGGCAATTTAAGTTACAGAATATTTATTCTATTTTTGCTTAAATAAAAGCTGATTGAACCTTACAGAATGGTTTTAAGTAAATGTTCTATTTGTCTACATTGTCCTTTACTCTCGTCTGTCACATAATTTAAAGATAATTTCTAGAGCATTTGAATTGAAAAATTGGTTTCTGAATCAAAAAAATCGTTTCTGAATTTAATTGTGCCCCTAAAAATCTAATCGAATCAAATCACTTGACACTGGAAGATTCACATCTCTACCACCTACTGCCCCGTTTTCAATTTTGCATGATCTGTTCTTCTGATTTCACCTTCAACAATTTCACATTCTGGTTTTCTTCATGTAGAAGTGTAAAACATAGTTTGCTTTACACCTTCTCGTTCAACTAAACGTCAGAACAGGAAAATGACTCGATCTGACTTTTAGCTGTTTTATTTACCTCAAAAAATAAATGCTCTTGATTGGTGTGCTTATAGACCAAGAAAGGGAAGAACTGATTAGAAATTTCATTGGCGCGCCTCTGATTTTGCTATTAAACCGTATTAAATCCTGAGATTTCAACTTCTGCAGTCAGAGTTTTTTATTCTCTAGTTCCAAGACCGGTGTAAAGAAGAAGAAAAAAGCACAGTGACCAGAGGGACGAGCTTTACTGCATTTGCTGCCAGTGCAGAACATTTCCTTGGAATCACCGCCTGCCCTCCTCTGTTATGTTCACCGCCTGCTCTGCCCGGTTGTTTTCCCGTGGCGTTGTGTATAAAGAACCAGCTTGACAGCTACACCCTGCGCATCCCACCTCCATGTATCTGTCTCGGTCTCACGTGGGACCCGGAACGAGCGCTTCGCCTCCCGCGTGCGCCCAGGCACAGTCCGACATCCTGTCACCGTCGGAGCATCAGACGCAACAACTGTCAGTCCAGATTGGCTCATCGTCTCCCGGACGGCTTTAATACATATCTGTGTCTGATGAAAGCTGCACTGGCTGGAAAGCGCTGCCTTTGCAGCTTAGTGCTTACTGCTCTGTTTCTGTGTGGATTAAAGAAGGTTTTAGTGCCATACAAATGATCTCGCTGCTAATTTTTGTTGGGGTTTTTTACAGTAACTTTTCAGCAACATGTAACGGCTGGTTTTAAGTAAATAATTCCTCGATATTAATGGAAAAAGTACTTGTTACATTGTCAGATAAATTAACTTGTAACATGAGGAAAAAAGTCTTGCTATAAGTGAAATAATCTGCTAATGGGACAAGTACTTTTTTCTCTATTTCTTGCTAAAACATTACTTGTAAGTTAGTTTTGTCTCATTTCAAGTACATGAAGATATTTGCACTAGAAACTAGACCAAAATACTTGGTAAGACTTTGAGTTTTTGCAGTGCATTTGCAAAATTTTTATTCTAAAGTTTCAACTGTCAGATAGTAATACTTACTTCCTGTCTCTTATATCAAATCTGCCAACAGGTGCCATGATGAAGAGCTCAACCGTAGCTGCGTTTCCATTACAAATGTGCGCAAAAACCTCTTCGATATTCTGCTAATGTCAGAAAAAAAACCCCACAATTTTGCAATTACTGTGTTTCCGTTAAATAAGAAACACAATTAAAGCCACACCCGGATAAGGTTGTTCACATGATAAGTCATTTGAAATCACGGCGGTGACAGATGTAAACACTTCACTCAGGGAGGAGGCCGGTTCACATCGGCACCCCTCCGCAGCGACATGGCGGCTGAGATATATTCATATTTCAGCCACCACACCAGCGCTCGTCGTCAGCCGTCAGAGGAGATGTTGGCATCTTACTCAGGCTTTGGAGCAACAAACTCCTACTTTGGAGCCGAATTCATTTTTGTAATTCCAGTTGCGCATTTGGAGTTAATGGAAGCGCAGCTAGTGTCGCTCCTTTCTTTTTCGGTGGCCGTTATGCTACGCCTAGCTGTTAAAAACAGTCGTTTTTCTTTTTGTGTCGCTGTGCTAATTATGAAGCCAGAACCAAGAAGAAAATTCCAGCATTAAATGTGAATTTTGAGCAAATTTTGTCTTTGCTTTGTTGTTTTTAATTTTAGTTCATATATGGTTCTAAGACACTTTTAGAAACAACTTCACACCTCTTACCTTCACGGTAAAACAAACTGAATGTCTGCGATTTGTTTGCATCATGTCTTCGCTGTAAATTCTCAAACAAACATCAAAATCTCTGTGGCCATGTAGGCGCTTGCAGCATCTCGTTGCAACATCTTCACGCTGAATCCGTGTCTGTGGCTTCATGGGGCATCTGCATCTGCATGCCAGCTTGCCCAGGGGGGCTGGAGGGTGGGGAGGGGGAGGACTTCAGCAGCTGAGCAGCTGAATAAAAATTGCACGAATGAACCTGACAGACTTTGTAATGTTCTCACTGCTAAGCTGGCAGGAGCGCAGACAGAAACAGAGAGACGCATGAGAAAAGACAAAGAAATATGTGGGAGCAGTACTTTAGATGGAAAACAATATGAGTGGAAGTTGGACTAGACTATATGCTGACTGTTTGCAGCAATATGTGAATGTCTACCTTTTGGTCTCAGTAAATGGATTGCAACTATTTTTTTTGTTCTTTCTGTTACGGTTAAAACAGGTAAACCAAGAAATGGCTGGTTGTGGTGGTGTTCATCTTCAACTAGAGAAGGGATAAAAACAGACTGTCGCCTTGTTGTAATGTAGGGATATGTCAGTGTGGTAAACGAAACATCTTTTAAGCAATCAACTAAAGTAAATTAGTTTATTTTACATATTTTTCCTTTGATCAGTTGGTGTAACACTGAAAACTGTCCCTCCTCTCCAGTCATTAATTGCATTAAATCTAAGAGCCTCTGAAACTCAACAGCAAAATGACCTTTGATGTACTTTTAAATGGAAAATTAATGTTAGAGACATGCAAAAAATAGGGATAGTCTTGTTATTCCGTAATTCATGCATCATCACATTTTAATTTTTTACGTTTACATTCTTAGGAGAAAAAAAATCATAATTTGCTCAGAGTTCAGAAACTTCTAAAGTTGGAATATCCAGGAAAACCCCTATTTTTGCTGCATTTATTGTCTCGTTTTTCCATCCTCATGGTTTTAATTGCAAGTAAAGTAGCATGTGTGAAAAATAATTTTGCTTTTTTATGATGCATAAAAGTGCCTAAATTAATTTGTCCAAGTTTAACAAATGAATTGTCTTTTAATACAGAAAAAAAACAAAACACTTTTGCATTGACTGACTTTACTTTAAATGTTTGGGATGTACATAATTTGACTGAGGCGTCATTTAGTCAAAATGAAACATTTCCGACTGCAAAGCTCGACGGTGGATCTGTCATTCTTTGGGCTTTTTGCGTAATTCTTCTTCCTCTCTAAAGCAGCAAAAGATGGATGACATAACCGTGCCTTAAAATGATTTTTAAAAGTGTTAATCTCATACCTTTTAGTAATCACATAGTCCTCATTTCACCATATGCAAAGAAAAAGGTTGACATTTACAAGTATCAACTCACATATAATTCAGTAAAGACCTGTTAACACATTTACAGAGTATGATACATCACTGTAAAAAACATACATGCATAGTATGCATTTAGAAACATCAACACTGCATCATAAGACAAGCTTCTGAAGGGCTTCTTTCTGCGGCTCGTTTTCCCACTCGGTATAAGTGAATCTGTAGAGTCACATTTCTGCCCTAGAGGAGTAATGGTTTTTCCTTCCCTCCCCTCCCGTCGCTCGCCGTGCTTCCCTCACTGCTTAGTGGATTTCATTGCCAGAGTGTATCCTGCGCCGTCCCAAACAGCAGGCCACCGTGATGACAGAAACAGCTCAACATCGTTGTCCGCGGCGTAGCAGAGCTTCGATTTGGAGTGCTGAGCTGCTGAACTGAGGAATGCTCTGGGTTCGTTGGCTCGCTGAGACTCTGAGACGTTGTTGCTCATTAACTCCAGAACAAACTTGTTGGCTTTGTTGTGTTTGAACAGAATTCAGTGGATCTGTTTGGCGTTTTTATGATGAGGCCTGGGAGCAGAAGTTGGCCCATCTAAATCCCCCACCGCCTTTGCTTTATGAATATTTGTTCTGATATCTTTCTAATAAACATGCCTTTTTTATTTATTTAGGCTTTCAGTCTGTAATATGGCACCAAGATCCAGTTCTGTGAGATCTTGAGATCTTAAAGCATCTTGACATTTCTTATCTTGTAAATATATCTCAAATACTTACTCTGGTCAAATGGTTGATTTTTGATATTTAATTATTTTTTATATAACTCTTTGAAAAATCAGTCGCACCAGTGATGTTGCTTCCATGCTTCAGTTAAACAGCCACAATCCAGCGCTGAAAACAGACCCCACATTGCAAAATACCTACATGCAAAGTATCATTTCATGCAAAATTTTATTTACAAAGCCCTCAACAGTCTGATGTATTTTTTTTATGTATGTCTTTGTAGAATGATGAGCTACTATATTGATTTTTAGTGATGAAGATTTACAGTTAGAAACTGTTGTCACATCAAACAAGACATTACTGTAATTACTGTGACTGAAATATCTGTGGAGAGGGATTCCTTTTGCATCACCTATAAAACCTATGAAGGATTAGTTAAGCTTACATGACAAAACGGGTTGAGATACCCTTTCCATCTGCCACAAACATGCAAAAAGTAGGACTAGGTGAGTCAATATTTTCGTAAAGTTGACGTTTTTAAGTGTGGGAGCACCATGCCCCCTGGTTCAACCACTGCTAAGCAGAGCTAATCGTCTCTTAGTTTTAGCATTACTGTTAGCTTTTCTTTGCCAACGTCAAGATAACAAATGTTTTACAAATCGCCTTTTAAATAATAATGTTTTGCTCTTGTGTTTCCTTGCCTCCAGGCGTGGCTCCAGAGGTATGGCTACCTACCTCCTGCAGACCCCAGAATGTCCGTGCTGCGTTCTGCCAGAGTCATGCATACTGCTATCGCTGCCATGCAGCGCCGCTATGGCCTAAATGTCACAGGGAATCTGGACAGCAACACTATAGAGTAAGTAATCCACATTTTTAAGCTTCCTGAGCAACGCCTGGGAAGAAATGGAAAGTTTAATTTGTGAAATAATAGTCATATTAGTGAATTTTATGCTTAACCTATTTGTGCAAATGCAATTGTCTCCCAATTTTTGACACTTTCTATTTGTGTAAATTATACATGCATATAGATATAGGCTGCTACACCTTTGACAAAGAATTGTGGCACATTAACCAGGAAACCGCCATGGTTCTCACATATTTTAAGATGTGACCTCCAAATAGAGTGATGTCCTTTCTTCACTTCAATTTAAAGATATAACATACAGATAAGATCTTATTTGAATTTGCACCAATGCCGTTTTGTACGAAGAGTGAAAACCGTCTGGGTAAAACATTTCAAACGTTTCGATGAGATTTCACATTCAAGCCGGGACGCAAATGATTACCGCACTCCCCGTTCCAGCTGTACTTTGTATTCTGAAGGCGAGGAGGCATTCTGCTAGACACAAAGTTGTCCCGACATAGATTAAGCGAGGTGTTTTAATTTGATCAAACGGACCCTTTGCAAACAGTTCATCTCCGGTGTCAGATCAAAGGATACAAAGTGCCTCAGTATTAATGCCCAGCAGAGGAAGAAGAAGAAGAAAAGGGACAGTGATTGGTCACTCCTCGTTCAATCAGTCAGACCTCAGGAAATGAGCCACATGTCTTGTTTAAAATAGCGAGAAAAGTGTGAAGTAGAGAGCAAACCCAGATGAAAGTGGAGTTTTAAACCAGTTATAACTAAAATGGTTTTCATATAAAAACACAAGTCATAGCCACTGTAAACTAAACGCTGCCTTACCGTTAACTGGGGCATCCTGACTTGACTTTTATTTGTTTCTACCTGCAAACTGCATTCACTGATATTTGTCCTCACCGACGGTGAAATACCATCTGTGCTACAAAGAGCAAATGAGCTCCGATTGGCCACTGAACTGTAAGATTGCAATCTGGTGGCCAGCGGACGAACATCTGTTCAACCACAGGGCTGAAACAGAGTAAAATATGATAAGCTAACAGTTTGTCTGCTCTTTTCCCCCCCTGCTGCTTCTCTGGCTTGATGTAGCGATAACACCATAAGGTGAGGCACCTCTTGTGTGTCGGTGTGTGTGTATGCAGAGAGGCATTAAATGTGTCTAACTTCAGTAGATTGTGTGCCATCGTTTTTGGGTTGACATGCCCTACCCTGGACTGAACTTTAATCTTGACAGCTTGCACAACTTGGCAAAAATCAGCAAAATGTGTGTCGAGTTTTGACTCGCGGTTCCTGCACCTCCACCCTGCAGGTGGATGAAGAGGCCCAGGTGTGGGGTTCCCGACGAGCTCGGCGGCGCATCCAGATTCAGCGTCAGGAAACGGCGATACGCCCTCACTGGCCAGAAGTGGCAACATAAACATATCACATACAGGTGGGTGGGTTTGGATTTCTCGAGGTGACGTAGAATAAATCTAGCTTTTGTTTGCTTGTTTGTCTTTTTGTTTCTTTCCTCCCCCAAAGTCAGAACCGGCATTTTCCATTTTGCCCTATGCTGATCCAATGAGTGCATGTCTCTCACTTTTAGAACTATAACAAAGAAATATATTTATATTATGTGTTTTTATTTATGTTATCTGCTGATGTCTTGCTCTCTCTCAAAGCCCGAGTGAACCTCCCACATGATGTAGAAAATACAGTTACCTTTTACATCTGTATTTTATTCTGTATTTTGAATTTTGCTGTCCAAGCTAAAAATTAGTCGGTAATTTCTCGCTAAATCTCAATCCTAACCATAACCTGTCTGATTTTTAAACTGAATGTGTTTGGAGAAATAAAAGTGGACATTTTCTGCTTGGTACTTTCAGTACACATATCAAATTTTCACTTTTTGATCCGTTGCTTATGATCACTCACTGAATGATCTTTGCATCACAATCCTTATACTGCCTCTAAGAACAGATGCACCAATCCCATATTAATATCCATATCGGACCCAATATTTAAAAAAATTCTACATCAGGTTTCTGTGACTATGTGCCCAATCTATTACAGCATATCTATGCACTCTAGTTCTATATACTTTGTGCTCTTAGCGACATCATGCTTTATTATTTATTGAACATGATATTTAGAAATCCTAATTGCACTTTCTGAACCATTTGAAAGGTTTGCTGCAGTTTATTTTTGCATGTTTAAGAAAAATAGTAAACCTTTTGTTTTTGTCAGTTTCAGTTTCTGTGTTTTATATTTTACATTGGCTATTATGCTCCTAATTGCACTAACCAAACAAATTCAGGTTATTGTTTTTAAACTTTTAACCAAACTTTGGAAGGGTTTGGTCACAAATATAAATAAGTGTGCTGTACTGATGCAAGGTTATGAAATATATTTGTAATTCAATACATTTATATCTGTTTAAAAAAAAAGAAGAAACGTTTTAAATCAATTCAGCGCAGATTTTCTGTATCAGATCGGTGTCGGGCAATACCGAATCTCAGATATCGGTAACTATGAAGTGAAAAAATAAGTGAATCGGTGCATCCCGGCTTGTAAGACAAACTTTGTAACTTGCATGTCTGTCAAATGTCACTGTGAAATCCTCCAACTTACGTATCCAGGGAGCGCCAGCCAAACAGAACCGACAGCGATTTGAACTCAAAATATACAGAGGGGAGGGTCAGCTAAAGTTTGAGTTTGCGTAATGCCAAACAGCCACGTCGTTAGGACATCAGTCTGTGAAAGAGCCAGCTTTATCCCTGTCCGGCCCTAAAACCAAGACAGGAAAGCAGTCTGCACGACAAATCTCCGACCATAGAGCTCATCTCCAGTCTCATAACTCTCAAACGCCCCCTCCTCTCTGACATCCAGCTCCATGAGCAGTAATGTATAGAACAGCATGGGTGTAAAATATTGCTGTGTTGATTTAGTGAGGGTCGCTTACGCCCCAGCTCCATGCTTCATCTAATAATCCTCCACAATTGATCTTTGTTTTGTCATTTTTCTTCCTTCTCCACCTCGGAGATAACTGCATAGGCGGTGTTGCGCACTCAATCTAATCTGTGCATCACAACCTGCAGCCCGAGTGGAACTTTATATCACGGATGGCACAACTGCCCACGTTCTCTTCTCTTTATTTATTTTTTCGTGAGACTCAGCTGGGACCGGGTTTAAAATTAGTCCGGTGAGCGAGCGGCACATCTGCGTCGGTGCCCAAATGAAAGGAACCAAATGAGCGAGGCTTGATGAAGAGCGGAGGAGTGTAAAAATGAAGAGGGAGGAAAGCATGGAGGAGAAGCAGCTGCAGAAAGAAAGGCATTTAGAAGAGGAAGGATGAGGAGGAAATCCTGGTGGAAGGCCAAAGAGGGCTCTCTGAAGCCGAGGAGTTATGCAATAAGTTTGAAGGACCTTTAATCTGCGAGGCTGCACGTACGTCCGCTGGTGTGCTTCTGCTGTACGCGGACAAAAGTCGGTCGCCGGACGTGCCTGCAGCTGCCCTTTTTTTTATTTTTTATCTCCAATTGGTGCAAAGAGCAATGCAGCAGATTCATCTTCCAATTCCTTTAATCTCTTTAAAGTTCCAGAGTTTCATTTAACAACTTTGGAAAAATCTTCCCAATCGTAGTAAATCTCCTGCTACAGTTCCTAACGAAAGCGTTCATGCCCTTAAATTTTTGGGATGTTGTCACATAACCACAGCTTTCAACGTATTTTGTGGGGGATTTAATTTGATTGATCAACACCAAGCAGAGACGAGTCAAAGCTCAGACGGCAGGGCTGAAACGATTACACGTGCTAATTGTGATGAATCAATTAATAAAATAATCATCAACTAATTTAGTGACTGATTAATCATTAAACTGGAGAATACAGACTCAATAAAGGACATTTACCAAAAGAACGACATTCTAAGCCGAAACTGTACAAAAAATATTGACAATTTGCATTTAAGATAAAAAAAGAAAATACAAAAGCTGGTTCAAATTCAGTAAAAGCAAAAATGTCAGATTAAACATCATTTGCTGTTCAAATATTAATTGGAAAATCAAAATAATAGTCAACAGACAGTCCTGAAACATAGTGATTTGGATTTCTGTTTTTTCCAAGCCTGGACAAGAAAGGAAAAGGAAAATTATGTGATGAACAAATTAATTATTTTGTTCCCAGACTTCATTTTATATGCTTAAAGCTGAGTCCTTCCCTCCTATTTCTGCCTCCTTCCCACTGTCATAAATTCATAGTGGACTTAAGTAAACAACCGAATACCGTGGAAAGTTAATTCTGGAAAAGCACGGATTTATGTCATGAAAATTTGTGAGAGGTCCGTAAACGCTCAAAGAGGAATACCCCCAAAGGATTTTAAAGCTGCAGCAAAAAAGTGGTGCCACGAAGTCTTGGCTCCATGCGACTAAATTTAAATGCATGCCACAGTTTTTGGACCATGAATTGTCAATTATTTCGTTTTGTGTCCGCCTTCAAAATGAAAGGCTGTGTCGTGTTTCTTCATCACATAGAAGATGTGTACAACACGTTGACGTTTGTGGTTGTAATGCTGCAAAATGTGAAAAAAGTTCAGTTGGTGTCTACAAAACGTTTGCAATGTTGAACATGGCTGTTTTTAATCGACTTGTCACCTGTTTTTATGCTATTTGTTTCGATAATCTTCTCAAAAAATGAACCAAACGTCGGAACAAAGAGAAATGTTATCCCCGCTAAGATACTCCCCATGTTGACAGTTGCATGGAAGCAATTTTCCTTCATATAGTCTCCCCTCCCAAAACTTCCCTCTTGCTGTTTCCGACTCTTAAGCTTAAAATAATCTTAAATAACATTGCTGGCATTTGGAAAGGATAACAAATGCATGATCGCCCCAGGTGTGTGCCAGTTTCTACGTAGCCACATACAGGAGTCTCTGTGTGGAGGCACTAATTAGCTTTGGCCTCCCCGCCGCTCTCCCTGCGTGCAGGTGCTATTACAGCACATGTGTTGCATCCGGAAGCATCACCACTTCGCGCCATGGAGTTTTAATATCCTTTATGGGCCCGACAGAGTCTGGGAATCTTCTCATTTATTGTTGCACAGCTTCCCTCTGCGTGTTCTCTCTTTACCCGCCGTGCCCTTATGAAAAGAAGAGCACACAGCGAGTTGGATCACCGACTCAAATGAAATCTGCTTTTTAGTTGTTGTTTTTTTTATTCTCAAGGGTCTGCTGTTGCTGTTAAGGGCTCTTAAACATATTAAGTCATGTGTTTGTGGAGAGCACCAAGCTGCTACAAAAAAAGAGCTTTTGTTTAATTTCATCTCATAAAACGAACTTGTACGTTTTACCACGTCTGCCGCAGTCAGGTGGTGTCGGTTTGGAGAGCATTTCATGTACTCATCATACTTGTGTTTCTGTCTGCTTGAAGATCCTCCATTAAAACACAAAGCGGACGTTTGTTCGGAGTCCCCATGTGGTCTGAATCAGGCGGGGATGATTTGCGGCTGCTCTAACCAGCAAACACTTGTGCCTGTGAAGTTTGTTTGTCTCGGCCCTTTGCACCTTTGCAGTTTTTGGTGATTGTTTCATCGCTAATAATCAGCCATGCGCCTATTTATATCTGACGGTGATTTTTTTTCTTTTTTCTTTTTGTTTTTTTTCGTCCATGCCTGGACAAAATCACCTTAAAGGTCAGTCAGACTTAAATTAGTTTGATCCTGGGAGTTTAACAAAGGTTAACATATGAGCTTCTTATAATTATTTAATGATTGAGTTATAATTCATAATAAACATAAAGCTACCAAGAGAAATATGTTGTGTTGGGTCGCTTCTGTTGTCATGGCAACACGGTAGCGGATAGCTATTGTGCGTTCACTAATCAAGAAAAAGACACGCGGTTTTGTTTTCAATCAGCTGATCACCTGACCAAGCTTAAAACTTGTCAGTTCATCTCTCTCTGCGCTGTTGCTGCTGCCGTATCACAGATTTCCTGACTGAATGCCAACATTACTAACTTATACTGGTTTTGCTGTGAAAAAAATCCAGTGGCCTCGTTCTCTGTAATCACTCTAAAAACAATGCCACAGAGGCGGAAGTGTGTGTCCTGACCTGGATGACAGCGGTGATAACCTCAGGCTGGTGAATGACACACCTGCACCCATGAATGACGTCTGCATCGAGATGACTCAGTATGCATACAGACACTGCTACACCCCTACTGTCCAGTTATGCTAAACCTTAACTTCAGTGTCTTGATGGCATTTTTTTTTTTACACTGAGTTAGAAATGTGAAACATTTAAGTTCATAGTCAGGAGAAAATGATTCTTTCTTTTGTATGTTCTCTAATATGTGACGGGTAATCATGCAAATAATTAAATGTCTGAGTTAATGTCTGCTACTTGAGATGAATTGTAAGTTAAGAAAAGCAGAAGCGTCTATGTGAGTGTACCCGTTTTGAAAAGTGAATATTTTAAATAAGCTTATCATTTGGGTGTAACAATTAGGGCATTTTCAGAGGACAGTGCTGCTGATTCATCCCCGTGCTTTTTCGAGTTAATAATCCGCCTTAAAATATCCCTATTTAGAGATGGAGCCAAGAGGAAAGCGTCCGCTAACACGAATTGCAAATACTCAGCATGTAAATGTGCCTTCCAGCGGTAGACAAAGACTTTTCTGATAATATTTACTGCTATCATGGGAAATGACATCTTGACAGGCAAACACAGACACTGCGAAGAGTTGGGGGGGGGGAAAATGGGAACAAAAGCAAAGAGGTGGCAGAGTGTACACAAAGAAGACGTGGGAAGGAAAGAGAAAAACGGCGAGATCTTGAATAAACTCGAGAGGCTGTAATGTGAAGACGGTGGCGGGAGAAAGCATCTGGCGCACCGCTGTTTAGCTGAACGCTTTTTTATCCCTGCTGTGCTTATCGGCTGAACATCAGCCACCCTGCTTTCCCCCAGACGTCCGCCATGTAAGAGACACAAACCAGGCCTGTGATGTAAACCATGACTATCCATACATTGGGAGAAAAAAAAAACACAGCAAAAAAAACCCTCTATTTAATAGAGCATGACACTGGGATATTTTCGCAGCGAATAAACTGGTGAGAACTTTTTCCTCATTGCCTGAACCAGACTGGAGCTCTCAGCAGGCAGTGGGCTGTTGATAATCCTTAATTAGAAAATAAATTCCAGTGGCAGGAAATTGTCTCGTCCTTAGCACACCTGCAGCAGCTCAAAGCCGGCAGGGGAGAGCTCAGCTGCGTTCTTTCACAAATCGCTCCATTTAGCTCTCTGCTGGCGAGCCGGATGAGCGTAAAATAGCACCAAGCAGGGATAACGACAGTACTTATTTATTTATTTATTTATTTATTTTTAGATTCTTCTGAATCATGAGACGAAGTTGAAGTGCAGGGGCATTGAGAAGCACCGGTGTTCTTTCTTGGTCCTCGTCCGACGATAAAGTGTTAGAAATGGGCATCGTAGCTTTGAGTAAAAACTAGTGATGTCATTCGATAAAAAAATGTATAATATTATTACAACTCTAGCACTGTGATTAATCACGATTAATCACTAAGTTCAACTTTGTAAGTTTGAAATGCAAAATTGCATGTTTTCTAAAAAAAATATTTAAGGAAATGTTTTATTGACTCAGTTTTTCTGGTTTTCATATTCAGGAAGGTTTAACAGAAGTCATTTTGTTTTTACATCATCTTTTCTCTTTCACTCGTGTTTGCCACTCTGCATTGTTGACCGCAGTACGAGACCGAACTGCTTCGAACTTCGTAACCCTCCGTAAGAGAGAGGCTTTTAGGTCAAGACGGGTATTGCGATTAAACTGCATTATGTAAGATTAATGCGTTAAACTTTTTAGATTAATTGCATTCATTAATACGTAAAAGTTGACAGCCCTTGTGGAGTAAAAAAACATGGTTATGGTATTTTTGTATTGATTTATTTATTTTTTTTCAATTCTCATAGGACATGATTGGCATTTTTCTTTCAGTTTCTTCAAAATGACTGTCTTTAGTTTTGCTACATCGGATTTTTTAAAAAAAAAACCAGGACGTACCTTATTCCAGTAACATAGCCCAGTGGAAGCATGATTCTAACATCATAGTGTCTCTTATTCTAACCTCTTGGGTTTTTATTTCATGTCTCGGCAGCATAAAGAACGTGACACCCAAAGTGGGCGCCGACGAGACCCACGACGCCATTCGGCGAGCCTTTGACGTGTGGCAGAGCGTGACGCCGCTGCGGTTCGAGGCCGTGCCCTATAGCGAGCTGGAGAGGACCAAGAAAGACGTGGACATCACCATCATCTTTGCTTCGGGTTTCCATGGCGACAGCTCCCCCTTTGACGGAGAGGGCGGCTTTCTTGCCCACGCTTACTTTCCGGGGCCTGGAATAGGAGGAGACACGCACTTTGACTCTGATGAACCGTGGACGCTGGGAAACCCCAACCATGACGGTAGGTAGTACTGAATTTAATTTACATCAAATAATTCACCTGGATTTTATACAAAATGTTAGTTGTATATCACAATCTTCTCAAAAATATGTAAATGTAGAAATAGGATCCATTGACTGAAACGTTAAGTTGGATTTGCCCTGACCTGAGTACGGCTAGTTTTTACAAACATTAAGCACATTATGTGGAGATAACAATACTTTATCATTCAGAATGTGTCACTGCTGGAGGAAAACTCAAAGTTACCATGTTTTGTTTAACATGTTCAATCAAGCTCCAAGAAAACAAGGGAGAACAAGATTTCCAGCACATAACAGGAAGGCTGAATTTACTACAGCAAATGTGTTTTATGTTATTCCCTTGTTTCAACTTTCGTCTGAATGGAAAATTTTGGAAGCTCAGAGTTGAGGCAAAAAGAATAAACACTTTTTCATGGGACAAAAACACATGAAAACTCCTGGATAACTCATGCTAGCTGATATAACCCCACTGATTGCTAATTTGAGATGCTCTTAATGTGAAAACTGATTGACCACTCAAGCTTAAAGTTTAAAAAAAGTATTTTTAATTTCTTATTGCAACTTATATTTGAATAAAAAGATGACTGTGAAAGATGGACATGTGAAAGAAAAACCCTGAGAAATGTATCTCTGTTCTAAATCCAGTTTTGTGTGGTCTGATTGCTCCCGTGGGGCTTGAAGCTTTGCTGTATCGCCTGATGCTGTTGCAGGGGGTAGGTCTGCTGCTGAACTTTGGTTGCGGTGGTCTGCTTTGTTGAGGCACTTCCTCTGCTGAGCTAAACTTATTACCTCTGACTGTATGCTGACCTCAAACCTCTGCCCTGACCAACTGGTTGTCTTCAGAGCATTTCAGCTCGTCAGGGAGCCGTAGCAGAGGTCTGGATAGCAGGTCGAGCAGGTTGAGCAGCTTGAACTCCAGCAGATCTCTGGATCAGTGTGTGAATCTATGCAAACTGTGCCACATCACCCTCTGAAATGTGTTATTCATTCAAAAGCACAAGAACATCCAATGTTCAATGTCTCACATCCATTTTAAAGTTAAAACTCTTTCAGATTTTAAAAACAGTTTGTTTCTAATTATGTCTTTGCGACATTATGGAAGCCATCCTGACCCACAGTCCAGAAGCAAGGGAAGGGGACGCATGATCACTACCGAGTCAAAACTGAGACAGAGCTGTCAGTCATAAGGATTCAGGGACAGAAGTTGAAAAGGAAAAAAAAAAAAAAGAACGGATGAATTGACTAGCAGAAAGCAGCAGGGATAACAGAGAGTGTAAGAGATGATGAGAGACAATGGCAGAGTATCTCTAGACAAATATTGGAGCTTGAAGAGCTCACAGGAGAGACAGCCGGAGACGGGAAGACTGAGCGAGCTGCATAGCGGGGAGTAAAAATATTTGACGAGGAGAGCAGAGATGAGAGGGGAGCTGTTGAATACAAGGCAGTGGAATTAGAAGTGAGGAACTTGACAGAATTTTAAACACGAGGCAAGATGTTTATGCAAGGATTTTAAATGGACTGATCACACCGACGGATATCAGTAGAGCACATTAATGTTGCAAATAAAGCCAATGCGGTCGGGCCCAGTCTTATTTCACCAGTTACTCATACGGTATGGTCATTTCTGTAGGTAAATGAGACCTACCTCATTTACCTACCTCTTTACCTTAATTCAGACCATTAAGGTAAAGATGACTCACAATCAACACATCCCACTTACTGAGCATAGGACCAGAACCAAACAGGGGGAGTTCAGTGTAATCCCTGACAATTGTTCCTCAAAACTATCTACTCTACTCTCCGACTGCTCAACTTCTCCAAGTTCTCCAAGTCATATTTCTCGTGAAATATGACCAAGCACACCATGGTTGTGAATGCAAAGTGGGGCGAAGTGTTCGGCAGACGACATGAAGCAGAGAACAAAATGACGTGATTTTCATCACCCAATGACAACCTTAACTCTTTAGCATCTGAGATGATGTAAGTTAGCGAGCTAAGTGCGATGTTGATGGCTTCACAGCCACAGCACCATTTATAAAACGCAATTTGATGGCTGTTAGTCCATGTTTTGTTCTGCGTCAAACAAGCTTTAACCTCAAAGTAAAAAGGGAGTTGCTTCTAATTTCAGCCAAAACAGAGCTCACACACCATACAGAGTGTATTGTGTTGCTTTCAGCTCTGTGGATGACTTTTAGGAGGGAGAAGCAGCAGCAATCGTCGAGAGCTAAGACTCACTCCCTGCATTCCTTTCAGTGCAATCCAACAAACACACCGTCAACCTCTCTTCCAGCCCTCCTATGCAATATTAATACAGAGCTGCTACAGCCTACTCTCTTGTGAAAACATCCCATAATGCATGCAGTTCTGCAATGCCTGGCCTCCATTGCCAAATGCGAACATGCTCTCGCTCTATCCTCACTGTTCACTGATCCATATAGTCATTTTCCTAGTAACCAGCGTTGCATAGAGAGGCTGATTATAACAGGGTTTCATGTGCCAGGAATCTGATACAGATATTAGGTTTTACTGCTAGATTTTTTTTTTTTTTGGCACTGCAGTAGTAGTTTTCCAGCTACGAGGTTTTCATTCAACCACCTTTATCTTTTGCTCGCTTAATTCTTTAAAACTTTACATGTAAGATTTTGCTTTTGTGTTTGGATTTTATAAAAACTTAGAGTAAAAGTGATGAATAAATCAACAATATAGGATGTCGGGGTAGGGGAGGTTCACTCAAACCCTTTATTTATAATACAACAAACATCAAATTCCCAAAAAAGTGTCTGAGTGCGTGATATTAATTAGAATTAATGAGTGAAACATCAACACTATTCCAGCTATTATCCTTGTATAGAAATGCATTCTTGCTCCCTATTTAAAACCGTGATTAAAGCTAATCATGGAGTGGTATTACCGCACCAAAAGAAGCTCTGCAATTTGCATACTGAAAACTGAACAGAGGAAGCAATAATTAGTGATTGGGCTTTGCAATCAAAGCACTTAACATTCCAGCCATATTTACTCGCTCACGCAAACACACACACACACACACACATTCTGCATTTGTTTCTTTATGCTGTAAGTTATAGAAATGCTCCTCTGTCGTCCACTCCCAAGCTGCAGAACAGATGAAGGAGAGCGCTTGGCTCAACGCCCAAGACCAAGGACGCTTTGATATGAAGTCAAAGATCAAAGTGCCTTCAGGTTGGACAGCCGCTGGATCAGCCTTCAGCTTATGCTTAAAGCTTATGCTTAAACATGCTGGGTAATTTAAAAAATATATATCAAACTCAAAGTTGTGTAAGAATGAAGATTAGATGCTTGTTTCTAGTTGGCTTTTTGTAGACCTTGCAGCAACTGGTAACCAGAGCAGTTTTAAAAAGGGAATTCACATCATGATGTTTCTATGATGCAAAGTGTTTTTTTTTTGTTTTTTTTATTAAGATGTCAACAAAAGGGTCAATGAGACTGAAGGTTTCTGCAGCTGTAGAGAAAATATAAAGGTCAATAGGTCACTACTTTGTCCCATTTTGCTTCTTTTTTTGCACCTGCAAAGATACCATTACTCACCCATGGACCTAAACTGATGTCTCTCACTTAAATGTTCTTTGTAGTTCAGTTATTTTTTATAAATGACGAAGTTAATTGTCAGAAAATTCTTGAATAACATCAAACATTTAATTTAATGCCATATCAGTTATTTTTTGTTCTGATCCCCAAGACGTTTTTATGACCCCTGATTGGATTTATGTAAATAATTTAGTCATTCTGATGTCCTTACAGTAATCTATTTTCAAAACATTAAAGATATTTTGAATTGTCAGTTGCCAAACATTCGCCAAGCAAGTTCAAGTTTAGACATTATCTCTACAAAGCATTTATTGTAGCGATAGCACCTTTTTCACACAAAAAAGGATAGAAAAATTCTCAATACCACAAAGTTCAAAGTTTCCCCCAGAAAACTTGCTAAGCCCGGTGGTTGGGTGCAAGGGCAGTCATTCATCCAGCAGCCCGTTGTGTTTTTTTGAGTTAAAAAATTTTCAAAGTTGACAGGAAATTTGAAAATATCACTTGATAATTATGTATTATTGAAAGATTGGAACATTAACACCTGAACACCAACTATAAAATCTTAAAAAATGCAAACATTTTAACAAGTCTTAAATAAATAAAGCAATGTTTAGTCTGGTGGGGGCACAAGTAAAGCCTGGGGGCCCACCAGACTTATAAACCACTGGGGGAAACCCTGGAGTTATACA